CGAGTGAGTGAGTGTGTGTGTGTGCTCTCCCTCTCTCCCTCTCTCTCCCTCTCTCTCATCTCCCTCGGCTCACCCTCGGCCTCACGCTCGTTACATACTGCGTGGTGTGGTGTGCAGCGTGTGATCTTGAGTTGGTTGTCATTGTTAAGTCAGGGTCGTGTGGTGTGACTACTGTGTGGAACTTTGAGCTGCACAGTGGAAAATCTTGGGGCTATTTGGATATGTTGTTGAGGGCTAAGGACCAAGATTGCATTGTAATCACAGTGTGACCAAGATGGCACTGTAATCAGTGTGTGGTGTGTGGTGCAGTGTTTGATCCTGGGTTGATTGTCACAGTTCAGATGGTATTGGCCGCTGGGTATTTTACATGGATTGTGAGGTGCGACCACGGTGTGGAGTTTCGAGCTGCACAGTGTGAAATCTCGGGTTGATTGCGTGTGACTGCACTACCCCGGACCTCGCGCAACTGCACAAGTCAGGATAGATGGCAACACCCCAAATTATTAAAATTGCCTCGCTCAACGTTCGGGGACTCGGCCCCGCATCTTTCTCAGCCAAGTGGCGGGAAATCAAAGGACTGATTGATAGGGAGAAGCTCCACGTTCTCTGTCTCCAGGAGACTAAGCTCAGTGACACAAGGCTGACGGATGGCCAGCTTCCGCCCGTGAAGGCCAGGTTCCAGTTATGGGCCCCGGCTGAAGGAACTGCGGGGGGTGTTGCGGTGCTCTGCACCAAGTATTTTAAGGGAGAGGTGATCGATTACTTTGCAGACACACTAGGGCGATGGGCCGGGATCTACGTTGATGTGGCAGGAGAGCGCCTAGTTATCGCCACGATCTACGCCCCCTCCCAGATCCAGGACAAGCGTCAGTTCTGGACCCACTTACCTGCATCCATACCGGACACAGCAAAATTGGTCCTGATTGGGGACTACAATACCACTACGGAACCCCCACTGCACCCAGATGGCCAACCCCAGCACAGATTGGATGTCCAAACGATGCACAACACTCTCAACGACATGGGCTTAGAGGACGCGTTCCGCTCCCTATGGCCCCATCACACGGGGGTTACATGGGTAGGCTCATCTTTAAGGAAGTGCAGTAGGTTAGACATGGCATGGGCGACAAGGGAATTGATAAGACACCTCCTTGACTTCACCATCATCCCGATCGCCCGCTCTGACCATAAAATGATTATAACTGTGCTTGCCATGCCCTCCCTCTTGAGAACTAACCCCCCCCCTCAACAGCCCCGGCATGGATGTTCTCGGATCCGGCGTGTAAGTCCTTCATTTTGCAGCACTGGGAATACTGGGCCAAGCTGCGATCCCCCTCCCAGCCAACTTTGTCATGGTTAACGGAGGGCACAACAGCCCTCCTCAGACTGCTTAAGGCCCGTGCCGCGGCATCTAAATGTGCCCGGAGACGCACTGCCGACGAATTTGCCCAAAGGGCACTCGATCTTGGAGACGGACCCGACACTCAGGAGGAAGAGGATGAGTGGTGGGCTCAATGGGCTGCCTTGAAAGCCCCATGGGAGGAATGGCAGATTACGGACACTGACCTGTGGGGCTCTAGGAATAAAGCCAATTGGACGGTAGCCGCCGAGTGGATGTCCAAGACCTTCTTTGCCCAGCTGCGCGCAGACAGACCGGCCTCATTGATGCTGAATATTAATCACCCCTTTGATGACTCCAAGCCAATAGCGGACTCCACGCAGACGATTCTGCAATATGTAGAGGAGTATTATAGGTATCTGTTCTCTGAGGAGCAAACAGTGGGAGCACAGGACCCCCCGGAGACCCTTGAGCACTTTGTTTGGAACAAAGTCACTAAGACGGTGTCAGCACAAGACAGTCAAAGGCTGGACGAACCGATCACGGCGCAAGAGTTAGCAGCGGCCCTAGCCGACATGCCCGCTGCAAAGGCACCGGGCCCCGATGGAATGCCTGTGGAACATCTCAAACTGTGTTTTGAGATCCTCGGCCCACACCTGCTACAGGGCTTTAATGCGGTATGGGCGACTGAAGATCCCCTTCCACCGGATTTTGCCTTGGCCACAGTGATTCTAATACATAAGAAAGGCCCCCTTAGTGATATCCGGAATTGGCGGCCCATCACACTACTTTCGGCCCCATACAAACTGTTCGCCAAAGTTATGGCCAACCGCCTAGCCACACTGCTTCCGCAGATAGTGGATGAGACGGAAACGGGGTTTATCCCCGGCCGCCGCATCATCACTAGCGTCCTCTTGGCGCGGCAAGTGCTATGGCAGGCTCAGCACTCGCAACCCTCTCTGGCTTTTGTAATGCTGGACTTCGAGAAGGTATACGGTAGGGTCTCATGGCCCTTTTTATGGCAAGGACTCTTGAGGAGAGGGCTTGGCCGCCAATTTGTTAATATGATCATTTCACTTTTTAGTGTGACAGAGTCTAGGCTATTAATTAATGGCTTCCTCACGCAGAGAATTGGAGTTACGCGTTCGGTTCGGCAGGGCT